GAGACTTTTGCACCCTTGCAAGATCGCCCCGCGCAGACCGAAGCTCCACCTCTTGCCGCCTCGCCTCACCAACAGCAACACTAAGAGCTTTGTTCTCCTTCCTCAGGATCTTATTTGCATCCTTCCAGGGTTGAAGTCGGCCCCTCAGCTTAGCCAGATCCTCTTGCTGCTTGGCCAAGTCCTCCTGCTGCTTAGCCCACCTAGGCTTCCAGTGGCCCAGGATGCCCATAGCCCTCTGTAGAAGGACCTGGGCAGCGTCGAAACTATCCTCGGGGTCGGCCTCGTCTATCAACCCCTGGTCCTCGGAGCTCAACGAGTCCTAAGGGAAGAACTTCTCGGCAGTCACCCCCGCGCTCCACAGCGAGCCCATGTCGGCCGAAGCGCTCACATGGTGCAGCCGCACTTTTGAAAGGCCCTTCCCGAAGCGATGGACTGGGTATCGGCTTCGGGAAGCCCCCTGTGACGAGCCAGATGGCGGCGCCGAAGCTACAGCGGTGGACGGGGGAACCTCACGGCTCGGACCCCCTTCACGAGCCTCAACAGAGGCGGAAGCCGGCGTCCCCTGCTCGATATCTGGAAGGTACTCAATAGCAACCTCCGACCTCGCCTGCGAAAACCAGCCCCATGTCAAAAGATAAAATAAGGTGGCACACGGAAAACCAATAACGTCAGGGAACACTACTTACCTCAGCAGTAGGAACAACCTGCTCGGTGGCCGGAACCGCCACCTCGGCAGCCTGGACGACCCGCCCGGCAGCTTGTGTCGCCGCCTCGGCAGCATCTCCTGCCTACGAAAGACAGCCCTAGGTCAGAACACAGAAAAACACAATAAACGACATTAAAAAAGCAACAGTAACAGGGTTCTCACCACCTTGGCAGCCTGGGCGACCTGCTCAGTGGCCGGAATCGCCACCTTGGCAGCCCGAACCACCTCCTCAAAAGCCACCTGAGGGGCCTCCTTGGGCGGTGGACTCTCAGTAAGGTCCACCGCACTCGCATCAGCGGCCGTGGAGGTCACCTCCTCGGCGTCCGCAGGGGCAGAGGTCCCCCCGACCTCCTTCGCTCCCCTTTTCCTCTTTCGGCTGACCCTTAGAGGGGGAACATCCTCCTCTTGAGGCTCGGGGACCTCGAGTTCTGTGACATTGTAGCGATGTTTGAGCTCGCGCCACAAATTCTTCCCCATGATACCTACAGACAAGAAGCAAAACACATCAGCAAAAGAAAGCTACACAAACCCCAAGCCACCAAAAAAGAAAATACTCACTCTCCAAACCCCTCTCCCTGTATGCCGAGTTCGCAAGCGACAGAACGAGCTTGTAATCCAGCGGGCGAGGAAGTGCAGCGAGGTTGTCGATAGTGGCCACCTCCGAGGCCGTCAGTTTCACCTGGCCTACCCCATGAAACCTAGACGGTTTGGGGCACCAGTAGAAAGGGAATTTCGGTAGCCCGCCAAAATAAAACGCCCCATCCTCCAAAGGGTCAACATTCACAAGAGCAACCCGAAAAAACTCTTGCTTGAAATTTTTATAGGACTGGGAGTAGAGGGTAAACAAACCCCCATCCCTACTCCCATTTCAAGGACAGAATTCCATATGGCGGAACGCCTAACTTCAACTGATAAAAATGAAGAAAGACGGGAAGGGATACCTCTATCCCTAAAACTGTACACAGGACTTGAAAAGCCCTCAAGAAACCCCAACTATTGGGATGCAACTGGAAAGGAGCCGCGTTGACATGGTTCAAAAAATCACACTCAAACTGAGTGAAAGGAAGACAGACACCTAAATCCCTAAAGAAACAATAGTACATATAGAAATGGGGAGAATCGGTAGACTTCCCCATGTACACACCCTCACCAGCCTGACAGGGTTCAAGCTGGATCATTCGGGAGATAGAAGGGTCGCAAACCCTGCACGACCTGGCGATCCTGTTGACCTCAAGAAAGGTCCGAAAGACACTTTGGATGCCCCCCACCTCGCACTTGACCCAGTCATAGCCAGGAATGCCTAGCGGTTATTACAGCACCACGATAGTGGCTAACAGCACCGACATAGCGGCTATAACAGCACCACAATAGTGGCTAAACACAGCATACATCTCAGCAATAAACAGAATAGCAAAACAGCTCACAGCACAGCACAACACAACAAAATCCGCATACAACACAATTAAGTAGTCTTCAACACAGCTTATTACTCACAACTCAGTTCATCATTCTAGAGCATAGTCATATTATAAATCAGCATTTAAATTCATCAATAACAGCCCAGCTCAGCATAGCGATATACATCTATTACAGCTTAACATTATTTTTCAGCATTTACATCTAGTCAGCACAACATATTTATCAATTACATCTCAGCTTCGCAATTTCAGCATAATTCAACAACTATCAGCATATGATTCAGCTCGACTCAAATAACAAGGTTCAGCATTAGCATCACACAGCACAACTCAGCGTTACATTATTAACAACATACAGCATAACACAACTTTTTATCACACGACATTGGCAGCGTCTATCAGCATGAACAACATTCAGCACAGCTCAACTTAATAGCACAGCCTATCGTCTTACAGCACATCTAAGCATCTTACAGCAATATACACCTAACACAGCTCAACATCTTCAAACAGCAATTTTAGCTAGTCATCACATCATATTCATCAATTTCGGCTCAACCATACACCTCTAATACAGCTAAATATTATTATCTCGGCTTTATCACTTAGTCATCACAACATATTCATCAAATACAACTTAGCTCAGCACATAACAACATGGATTAACAAGTTCAGCAAAATTCAACAGCCAACAGCATATGTTCCAATATCCCCTCCGCGCCTGGCGTGCTCGAGGTCGCGCCCAGCGCGGCCCGACCCGAGAGCACCAGGGGCCATCACGCCCAGCGCAAGAGTGCTCGCGCCCGACGAGACTCAACCCGAGAGCACCAAGGCTCTCACGCGCCTGGCGCAATTCCAAATTGCGCCCAGCGCCTGCCTGGCAGAGACTCAAGGAGTCTCGTGCGCTCAGCGGCCTAACCCGCGCCCAGCGTGGGGAAGGTAGAGACCTACTAAGGTCTCGCGCCCGGCGCAATTCGTATTGCGCCCAGCGCCCTCTTGGCAGAGACTCCCAAAGAGCCTCCGCGCCCAGCGGGTCCAACCCCGCGCCTAGCGCGGCTCCATAGTACCCAAAACATGTCACCAGTGATATCGCGCCCGGCGCAGCCCAAGTCACGCCCGACGCGGGCCAACCAGAGACTCCCATTTGCAAGCTCGCCCAGCGCACACAGCATTGCGCCCGGCGGGCTCGCCTAAATGGAGTCCCCTGGTGGTCACGCGCCCGGCGCGAAGAACAGCGCCCAGCGCGAATTCAACAGCAACCATCCCCAAGTTTGAAATTTGCCCAAAATCCTGCAAAACACAACATAAAACCAGCATGCAATCCAGCCAAAGGTTCCCATATTCACCAAAGATCAATAAAAACACTTCATTTCTCACATGCGAATTCAACAGTAACCATCCCCAAGTTTGAAATTTGCCCAAAATCCTGCAAAACACAACATAAAACCAGCATGCAATCCAGCCAAAGGTTCCCATATTCACCAAAGATCAATAAAAACACTTCATTTCTCACATGCAATCACGATTCAAGGTTTTCCCCAAAATTTCTCAAAAACCCCAAAAACCTGAAAGGCCCCCAAATCAGCAATTTCAACCGTTCTTAGCTCAAATGCAGCAAACACCCTCCTGGCGAATCACCTCTACGGCAGATTTCCGGTAAGAACAGTTACAAAATAAATTTATTTACCAATACATGTCATAAACAAATAAGGATGCCAATAGGATGAAACAAGTATTTTTATTTTTGGTAGAGGGAACGAGACAACAATGAGTGAGGATATGTATATTTTTTTAATAGAGATATTCACAAATTTTATACATAGTCATGGATTTTTGTAGATATTTATTAATGTACATAATTTTAAATAAAAATAATTAATTAATTTTTTTAAAAATAATATTTTGAAACATATCTAAACTACCAAAAAAAATTATGTAATATTTTTTTTGGTAACAACAATTATGTTATATATTTAAATTAAAATAAAAAAATATGTATATTTGTAAAAAAAAATAAATTAAAATAACTTACTTTATATATAATTAAGATAAGATTATTTAAATAATTTTAATGTAAAGATATCTTATTATTTGTTCGTGCCCTATCAATAAACAGGTATTTATTTAATTATTTAAATAATATTTATAGCAAGTATATGTGAGTGGATTTTTTTTGTCTATTATAGTGTTGATCATAAATAAGGGTATTTAAATTTGAAAAAATTATTTTAAAGACTATATTAATTTTATAAAAAAAATTGCATACAATCATGGATTGAAAACCAAAAAAATATAATTTTCATTATAGTTTGATTTGATTTATATTTTATTGTATTTTTTATTGATTTTTATAATAATTATTTTAAAAAATTATATATATCATAATTAATTAATAATGTAAAAATTTTACATTCAACGTATATTTTTCTTTTCTGTAAAATCATTAATTTTATTGAATATATAATTTTATCTATTAATTAATTGTATAACATAAATAAGTTGTCAGGTATCAATAATTCATTTGTCACATGACTCACATCATCTACGAAACAATACTAAAAGTAAGGACAAAAAAGACATGTATTTCAATCAAATTAAGGATTAAATTAAGTATAGTAATTAATTCTATCAATAATTCATTTGTTACATGACTCACATGATCGATGAAACAATACTAAAAGTAAGTATTTCAATCAAATCAATAATTAAATTAAAAAAGTATAATAATTAAAATTAAAATAATTTTTTTAAGGACAAAGAACATATTGAACAAAAAATTGTGATTTTTCTATTTTTTTAAAGTTCATTGTCAAGAAGTATTGTCTATGAACACCAAAAACAAATCTTCTTAAAAAATTTGACATACAGAATAAATGGAAGAAAAATGGAAGAAGGAGATTGAATACATTCACATTGACAATCCAAAACCTACATCCTAAATATGCTTTTAATATAAAATCTTGTGCAGACACCATTTAAGTGTTTTAACAGAAGCAGAAGGACATACTAATTCGAACCAAGTCATTTTAGTATAAGATCAAGTTGACAATAACTGAGGTGCATTTTTTCTTGGTCCAGAAACTGTTACAAGTCACCAATGAAACAATCTTATTTATATGCAAAAGCTTACCCATTTACATATTTTTAGTCCTTCACCTCAGCAGGCACAGTGTGTCTCCAAATTCCTGCAAGGATGCTACCAAAGATTGAGTGTAACACACTTGAAACAGCACAAGGAACTGTGGTTAGAGGATCTCCAAAGTGTTTCGTAGCAAGAACAACCCCAAGAACTGAGTTCTGCAATATGAAGTGGAGAAACAGGTAAATTATTATTGGACTTAAACTAATGATCGCAAAAAGGTGTATTAAGATGCCTATGAGTTTGTTTGGCTAGACTTCTGAAGAAGTATTTCTAAGAGAAAAATAAAATAATAATAAAATAAGTTTCTTCTTTAGTTAAAATTAATTTATTTATATGCTAAATTTGTAGAAACACTCTTATATTAACTTCTTCAAAAATTTATTTTTAATTTATACATAAAATAGTTTTAATTTATAGAAAAACTTATTTCATTTTATTATTTTTTTTCTTTGAAAAATGTTTCTAGATAAATTTATTCAAAAATTAAGACTCTATGCTTGATAATTCAATTATAGAGAACAAACTTTACCTGCATGCCAACCTCAATGGATATGGTTCGTGATGATGACACATCTAGGCCAAGCATTCTTGCAAGTACATAACCAAAGAAAAAACCTGAAGCATGAAGAAGAGAGGAAGCTAAAACTACTTGTCCTCCAGACATAAGGATTGTTGAAGAGCTCTGAGAAATAGCATTTCCACACAAAATTGCCACAGTTGCTACAGCCAAGGGAGGCATCAATGGAGAGACAATTTTAACAATAGGTTGGAAATACTGATTCAGAAATGCACCAGCCAACACAGGAAAAAGCACAACCTGTTGAGAGAGAATATGGAGAGAGGGTGTAACAATTACAACAAATTAGAAACAGAGACACGATTGATTTGAGAAGTATTAAATTGCTTACTTGCAATGTTGAAATTAATAAGCCAGATGCATCCACTGCTACATATTTACCGGCAAGTTTGGCTGTCAGAAAAGGAGTCATGATCTGCAATGTTTATTTTTCAGCCAGACAGTGAAAAAAAAAGTTTATAAAAGTGCTATTCAAGCATAAAATATAACAACTCAGTTTGAAATGCTACACACAATAGAAGTTTATAAAATCTCTCCTGATTATTGTAATAGGTAAATAGCCAATGGATTAATAGATAATTTCATGAGGTGCTTGAGAAATTTGTTGACATGTAATGTACATAAAATAGTCCCATATATTTTATTCAAATTCATGTAAAATCTTTGTTCAAGATAGAATCTATCTTTCAAATAAACATAAGAAAAATTACTACTTTTTTGCACCATACCATAAAATATGCAAACAAAAGAGAAGAAGAAGAAATCATTTATGCTTCAGCACTAAAATATATCCAAATTGTTTCATAAAACAAACACAACTTCTATTTAAAACCTTTCCTTCAAATTATTATTACACTATCAGGTCAGGGAAAGTACAGCAGTTCATATAGCATCAAACTGAGATCAGGTGCCATGTTTCATGCAAAATTTTATTCTTCAGAATAAATTTTTGTCCACTTCTTAAAATAACTTATTATAACCAATCACTTTGGGTTAGAGACAGAGTTCATGAAACAATCACAATACTAAACTTGGGAAGTCCACATGATGCAAATTGTAATTGATTTTACTGCCTTCTAGTACCTCTTGTCATTAAGATTGCACATCAAATATAAGGAAGCCAAAGATAGGACTAAAACTATAGTATACTAACCACGGCAGATATAGTGCTTGCAGCTGTCATTATCACAGAAAGTGCCACATTTCCACTAGCAAAACAAACAGGTCATCAGATCACCTTGCTCATCAAATCCACAAAAAACATTAAGAACATGTTTAGATGATACAAGTTTAAAAGAGTTTTTGAGAGTTTTTCTACTGAATTTTTTTCTTTTTACTAAGTTTGTATCTAAACAGACTCAAATTGGAATAAACAGTTATGATAGCCAATATACCGTGCAAGATATGTAACAATGTTACTAGCTGTGCCTGCAACCAAACAAAGACTACTTAAAATAGATAAAGGGTGGATAGAGAAAAACATTAACCACCAGATTAAAATTCATACCTCCTGGACAACACCCAACTAATATTAAACCTGCTGCATAATGCGATGGAAGATTCAACAGTTTGCTTACCAGAAATCCAGATAATGGCATCACCTGAAAAATGTGAATGATTCTCACAAACAAGGATAAATCATCAAGATAAATGGTTTACAATGCCAGATAAAAGCTAAATGCGGCAAATGTTTTTTTTCTTCTTTTTAATAACCATGTTATTATTGGTGCCCATTTTGCTGATGATTAATTTTTGTTAGAAAATTTGGTTGACCACTTTTAGTAGAGTCTCTTTTCTTAATCATGTTTTTTCCATCCACAAAACTCAAATCCGATGCATTACTTAAAAATGCAGAGTCAAGTATCAGTGAGACTAAGATGTTGTTGGTGCAAATGTTTGGTCTGAGAAAATGGTTTCTATTTCATTTTTAGTTTTCATTTTGACATTTAAGAAAATATTGCCAAAAAAAAGGCTTACAAGAAACAGTGAAAACAGAAAATAATAAAAAGTTGCTTTCACCATACAAAAATTTGACACAAGGAAACAAAGTAAAAGGAAATTGTAAACAAAAAGACATTTTCTCAAACCAAACAGCTCTTAAGGTAACAAGTTTCTGTAAACAAATTAATCATTATACAAGAGCTTACTTCCTGAGATTTAATCGGACAAGCTTCAATGTCATTTGACAAAGAGTTATAAAAGGATTATACTATAAGCTACCTTCATAAGTTCAATAATCAGTCACATTCAATTTTTAAGTACTTATATGATTAGTCAAAATAAGCTTTAAAGAGTTCTTTCAATTATCCTCAAAACTAAAACAGTGTATAGACACTAACCGAATACTGAAGGACAAATCCAGAGAGGACTTCCTTAGGCATGGAAAGAGCCCCACGAAGATCATCAAGAGTGAGGGTCATACCCATACCAAGCATGATGATGGAGAGGCCCACAATGTTCAATTTTGGAGTGACCCAATTGAAGGAACTTGGCTTGAACAGCCCCAAAACGCATCCAATGGTCACCCACAATGGCAGTGCCGTTGATAAGGCCTCACCAACCAGCTCAAACCATTCCCGAAGACTTCTACCTTCATTTGCACTGCTCCCATTCGACGAAATGCCACACTTAAGTGGACCAACCTTGCAGCTGCTTATTCTTGGTGATTTTGATGTGCAAAGGTTCAACAGTGGCTGAGGATGAAACTTACATGATAGTGTGAGCTTAGAAGATGATTTGGTTGATGTCAAATCAGGTTTGATAGAAATGGTTGTTGGAACAAGATTGGTGTGTGATTGCACTCTCACTTTGACTACGTCATACACAAGTGGAGAGCATGCTACTAGTGCTTGCATCTTCTCCCTCTGTGTAGTTCTACCACAAAACGAAGATCACTATAGAGCACTATGAATGTAATGATTTGATAAGTTATTATCACTATACACCTCTGGTTGATTATAATAATTTTATATCATCATCATCATCAAACTTTACATAAATTTTATATCAAAAGTACTTTACATGAATTTAAAAATATTTTATGTTACAGTGTCGAGTCTTAAAAAATTGGTATATAATAAGCTCGTTGCAATTTATTTATGCATAGAAAAATGGCCAAGGGATGAAAGCAGAACATAGGTTTTCTTTTGAATTCATCGAAACTGTTTATATATTTTGTTAATTTTAACTTCTAAAACTTGAATAAACAACCATGGCTTCAACTGTGGCTAAATAAAGCTTAAAATAGTGACAGCTATAAAAGATTTAAAATTGTGTCCAAGTAGCTCAAACAGCATCTAAATTATTTGTTCAAGTATTACATTTCAACTCAACATATACAAATGATTGTCTTTGGCGATCATCATTTTTAAATGGTCTTTTCTATTTTCTAATTATATATCCCAATCTCATAACTCAAACATCTAAAAAGATATTCTAGTCATACTGATATTCCTGCATAATCATGAATCACACTAGATTAACATCCTCGATTAACATTGAATCAGCATCATATATAAGTTCGTGAGTTACATTATCGGATGCAACGAATGTATAGAATCTTTCAGTTCAAGTCCCCTTATTATAACTATAGTATGAGATTTTTAAATTTCACATTTTTTAAAAAATTTTCCTTCACATTTTTTCTGATTTTTGGAACTTTATAAGAATGGAAAATAATTAGAGATTTTTCTCATATATTGTTGAGAATAATAAATAATCTTTTTAAAAATAAAATAAAATGGGAGAATAGTTTTGTTCTTTGAAATTATTTGGCTGATACACCATAATAAATAAAAAATAAAAATAAAAATTACAAAAATAAATTAATAAAAAATTTATTTACCAAACTAAATAATTTTGGACACGTCGAATACGAAGGAAGGAAGAAAACGTCAAAGGCAATGACGATTTGTGGAAAACGTTACTTTGAGTGACGTTTTCACACTGTTCAGCGTGAGAAAGTAACTAAAAACATCAACCCTGTTGATGTTTTCTATATAAATTAAAAAAATTCAAAATTGAATGTAAAACGTTGTTCCCTGAGCTTTGAAACACAACCAGAATAGTCCATTCTGAAACCAGAACGGGCCATTCTGATTCACTCTTTGTGTGTTGCATTTACATCTAGAACGGGTCGTTTCAGTTACAAAATTAATACACAACTAGTGGGACCAGAATGACTCATTCTGGTTTCGGAACGGGCCGTTCCAGGTTCATGAAAGAAGGACTATGATTTGAATTATATATAATTAATAACTTAAAATATAATTTATTGAAAATTTTTGAACTAAATTAAAATTATAAAAAAAGTACTAAGATTTCCCTATGAGTTTTTCCAAATTAGAATTCCCTGGCCTTTTACGAGGACAAAGATGAGAGCTAAAAGCAAAACTCACCTTTGTTCCGCCTATTAGCATGTCTAGTGTTTTGTCATAAACATGTCACGTTATTAAAAAAATTCATCTCATTAATTGTCACATTATCAAAAATATTATACTATTGTTTCATTTTTAACTTTTTTCTTAAATTAAATATTAAAGTAAAAGATAAATTTTACTTTTTATCCCTATAATATTTAATCTGGGATTTTGTTTCCCTGACTTATAATTTTATAAATTTATTCTAATTCTATAAACTTTACAATTTTTATCTCACTAATAAATGATATAATAATTGAAGTAAATATTAATTATCTAATCATCTACTTAATATATAAATTCATAATCAATGTTATAATTTTAATAGTTAATAGATAATATTTATTAATAAAATTAAAATTAAATCCCAAGCGTGTGGTTCAGCGGTAGAGGTTGATCCACGCTTAAGCAAGGTCAGGGGTTCGAATAACAAAAATCAAAAGCACAATTTATGTTAAAAAAATTGTAATTTTTTAATGCAGAATAACTTGGAACGGCCTGTTCTGATTTCAAAACGGGCCGTTCTGGTTGTGTTTCAAAGCCCAGGAAACGATGTTTTACATTCAATTTTGAAAATTTTTAATTTATATAGAAAACGTCAACAGGATTGACGTTTTTAGTTACTTTCTCACGCTGAATAGTGTGAAAACGTCACTCAGAGTAACGTTTACCACAAATCGTCACTTCCTTTGACGTTTTCTTCCTTCCTTCATATCCGATGTGTCCAAAATTATTTAGTTTGGTAAATAGTTTTTTTAGTAATTTATTTTTGTAATTTTTTTATTTTATTTATTATGGTGCATCAGTCAAATTATTTATCAGATATGCGTAATTGTTATACTTTTATAATTATTATTTAATTTGTTGAAGAACTCATAATTACATATAGAAGGAGAAAATAAAACTAGTGCAAGAAAATATTTTACATAAAAAATTTTACAACGATCAAATATTCTCACATTGACTAAGAATAGGCTCAAATAAGGATATGATTTGATTCTCTTGATTTGTTTAGTAAGTTAACCTTTGTGGGTATTCATGTCAAACCTAAGACTGATTTATTTCAGTTATTGTATCAGTTATTTATTTGACTTAGTTCTACAACATTAAATTGGTTATAAATAAGTAAATTGTGTTGGGGTTATTTTATGGTACTTGTTTGAGGGGATATTTTATGAAGGTTATTTTTTATAATGTTATTACACAAACATACTCTGCGATGATGAGATATTGTCCGCTTTGGGCCTTAGCCCTCACAGTTTTGCTTTTGGTCATCACCCAAAAGGCCTCTCAATCATTGAAGTATGTTTGTGTTACAATGATAAGATATTGTCTACTTTGGGCCTTAGTCCTAACAGTTTTGCTTTTGGTCATTATTCAAAAGGCCTCTTAATCATTGAAGTATGTTTATGTTATATAAGTTGTTATTTCTTATCATATTTTATCGATGTGGGACTTGTTTGTATCCCAACAAATTGGATATAAGTGATTAATATGTTGAAGTCAACGTCGAATCGTTCAGATAATGCTCGAATTTGATTCTTGGTAGAAATAATTTTTAGCTAAACTTTACTTACCTTCAATAGAATTTAATTAATTTAAAAGGGAAACCTTAAGACACTAGTGAAAAAAAAATAGTCTAAAAATCAATTCATATGATTCAAATTAGATTCAAGCAAACCATCTAAAATGTGTTGTAACTTGTAAGTTCAAGAAATGTGCACTTACTCATGTGACTCAGAAAATAGCTTGCAAATATATATACCTTCCCTTTCTAATAAATACCTTTTCCTTATCATTTATTTTTCAAATTTTTTTATAAATACTCTTTTAATTTATTCTTTTCTAAAATAAATTTTATTTCTAATAAACTGTGTTCTTTGTTTACTTTCTCTTCTTTTACTTTTTTTTTTCGCCACTCTATCCCTTTCTAATTGCTCTTTGTTCACTTCCTTTTTTTTTTTTTTTAAATTTTTTCTCTTTAGCAATCAAGAAACCATGTGACTCATTTGTGTTATTTTCTATACCTATTTTTTTCACTCTTAATTTCAAAATTTTTAATTTTTTTTTTTTACTTTATCTTCAATATTACATACATTAGATACAAGGTTATTAATTTTATTAAGACATTGTTTCCAAATATATGTATGACATGTTGATTTTACGATAAATTATTGATTAAAAAATATTTTTATCATTATTGTTATAAAATTGTATTTTCTAGTTTTTAAAATATACTTTTGAAAAAACTTTTTAAAAGAAAAAAAATTTTCTCTTCTTGAAAATCCTTTTTAGAAGTTTTTTTTTTCTCCAGAAAGTATTTTTTAAAAATATATTAGAAAACATATACTTTCAAAAAAAATACATTTCAAAAGTATATTTTTAATTTTAGAAAATATTTTGTGAAAGATTAGATTTATTATTCTTCTAAAAGGTATTTTTTAAAAGTATATTTTTTATTATCCAAGAAGTTTCTAAAAGAGAAAAAATATATTCCCAAAAAGTACTTTTGTGAAAGAAAAAAAAAATTCTATAAAGTACTTTTCGTAAAAGTAAATTTTTGGGAAATATTTTCTGAAAAAGAGTATTTAAAAAATAAAGAAAGAAAAAAAATAAAGGAAGAGTATTATCGATTTATGGAGATATATTTATAAAATAAAAATAATAAAAACGCCTCTTTTGTTTAGGTGCGTGACAAGCCTGCCAACATGTGGACTATTGCAAAATGGACTTAGGCCACCTATTTATGGTAGATGATATTCACACCTCCACTCTCGTATAAACACACCTCCTTTTTTAAAAAATATATATAAAATGTCTAAATTACTCTTAAAAAAAATACACTTCCCTTTACCGCACCCCGTTCCTCGCATCCCACACCCCCTTCCCCGCACCCCCGAACAAATCATCATCATCAACAAAGGGATGAACATGAACCAACCTCTTCCTTGGTGATCTTGTTCTTGTTCTTCTCACTATTCCATTGGGAGGCTAACAATATCCCCAATCATGCGCACCACCTCATCCATGTTGGGCCTCTGGTCGAGCACAAGCGCAACGCAGGACATGGCAATCTGCAACAACTGAACCATCTCCTCTTCGATGTTCTGGAACCTCATGAGTTCCGCGTCGATCACTTTCGCGGTCCACTCTTCGCGCACCACTGACTGCACCCAACGTGGAAGGTCGATCCCTTTCTCGCTCAGCGAGGCTTGGTTCGGCGCCTTGCCCGTTAGGAGCTCCAGCACCAGCACGCCGAAGCTGTACACGTCGGATTTCAATGTCACCTTTCGGGTTTCCAGAACCTCCGGAGCCCGGTAACCTGCCACCCGGTTCGAGGGAACCGGGTTCGCGAATATCGGTTCAGCCCGAAGTCCGAAACGCAGAGGTCGTGGTTCGGGTGGAGGAGGATGTTGGAGGATTTGATGTTGCCGTGGACCTGTTTGGCTGACACGTGGAGGAACGCCAGGCCTCGTGCGGCTCCCAATGCTATTCTCATTCGCGTGTCCCAATCTAGCGGCGTTCGCTCTGACCTTCTGCTCCCTGTTGTTAAAACGTTAATAGAGTTATTCGTGTGTCCCAATCTAGCGTGCTGGTTGCACCTCCGCCGTTGATCTCGCCCTCGACACCCTCTGCCGCTAGATATTTTAGCATCGAACAGCTCGCATTGCTCACTCAGGTTTCTTCTTTCTTATGTTTCATGCCTCTTCAGAAATTGTACCCCCTCTGCTCTTGTTTTTGGGAACTAGGAACTCGGAACAACCCCCTTTTCTTTTCGTTTTTTTTTTTTTAATTTGGGATGAGAATTTTGGGTTACCAATTACTGCTTCAATCTATCCCATCACAAGGTTCTATTCTACCGCTCTTGTCAGCGACTGAATAGCTGATTTCAAAGAGGCTTTAGGAAGGAGGGGGTGTGTGGTGTGAGGTGTGGGGTGTGGGGGTGCAGGGAAGAGAGGTGTAAATTTAGAAAAAATATTTTTTTTAAGGGTAATTTAGATATTTCATATATATTTTTTAAAAAAGGGGGTGTATTTATATGAGGGTGGAGGTGTGTTTATCATCTGCCTTTATACTTTGCTTGCCAACATGGCCTCACCTCTCCATTTGTGGACCAATGCAGGCCCAGCCTATGCATTTTGGGCCAGCCCATATGATCTGCTCTAAATACAACAATATTTACATATTAAGGGTATGTTTGGGAATAAGTCCACAGTTGAGTTCAACTTAATTAAGGTTTTAAAAAAAATAATATGTGTTTTCAAACTAATATCCAAACACACACTAAATCTTCATTACAAACTTTGTATAACAAGTATCTTATGCGTTCAACACTCCACTTCTATGTCTGCATATCCATGTTAGTACTCTATAATCACTTCAACATCTTTGTCAAGTATTAAATATCTAATTAACATTAAATAAAAAATGTATATTCTACAAATACGAAAACAAAAATCTAGAAACATTGAAATTATGAAAATCAAAATCATCACCAAAAGTATAATTATGTCTAATGTAAATAACAACAACCACTTTAATATTATTATTGTTAATAAACTGTAAAAAAAATATAAAAAAAATAAGGACATGATATTACAGTACAGTTTCTAGTCATGTAATGATATGTGTGAACCCCATCTCCTCCTTAACTACAAACACTTGCTGACAGTTATCATTTATTTTTATCTCTTTCTTATCACATTATATTATCTATCATCTTATACTTTTCTCTTTATTTGTATAGGCATCAAATAGCAAATGGATTTTTACCCATCATTTATTTTTCTAGTTATTAGCAAAAGCTCATCAGGAATATGTTTTCACTCTTTGACTAGAACAGGTACAGAGTATCTCCAAATTCCTGCAAGGATGCTACCAATGATCGACTGAAACACAATTGAAACAGCACCAGGTACTGCAGTTAGAGGATCTCCAAAGTGCTTCGTAGCCAAAACAATCCCAAGAACTGAGTTCTACAAAATGCCATGAAATAACTAGTAATTAAATTCATTTACAATTCAACTAATGATCACAAATGAGCTATATACCAAGTTGTCTATGCTTATAATAGGTGATGTGATATAAAAACGAGAAAAAAAGAATTGGGTCAAAGTGAGATAGAAAAAAAAAATTAAATCACACTAGCATATTTCTTGAAGTTCGATGAAATTACACTGACGCTTTTTTTTAAAAATATTTATAGGAAATTATAATGTAATGTTTTTTAAATAATTAAGAAAAATTAATATAATGTAATATACTGATATAATACTTGATAATTAAGAGAAGTTATTGTAAAGATAAAGAAAAGTAAGAAATTTTTGTGCTATTTCATGAAATCTTAGAGGGTATTCATGTAACTTACTCAAAAAGTAAATGTATGATAATAATTTTTCTAAAACTAGATATACTAATTGACTACTTGTCTTAGAGTTGAGTAAAAATAATTTTGTACTACTTCATAACTTATACTCCATATATAGCCATGCATTTTAATTGAAAATGTGTGGCACCAAAATTGATTTCACGTGCTACAAGGGACACTAACTTTACCTTCATGCCAACCTGAATGGATATGGTTCTTGCTGATGACACATCTAACCCTAGCATTCTTGCAAACACATAACCGAAGAAAAAGCCCGAAGCATGAAGAAGGAATGTGGCTAAAATCACTTTTCCACCAGACACAAGGATTGCTGAAGAACATTGGGCAATAGCATTTCCACTTAAAATTGCCACTGTTGTTACAGCAATGGGTGGCATCAATGGAGACACAAATTTAACCATTGGTTGGAAAAACTGATTCAGAAATGCACCAGCCAACACAGGGAAAAGCACAACCTGATCAAAGAGAATATGAAGAGAGGGTGCAACATGCAGTTACTACAAATTGATTAGATTCATTAGAAATAGAGACAAAATTTATTTGAGGAGTACTAAAACTTAATTACTTGCAATGTTGAAATCAATAAGCCAGATGCATCCACTGCTACATATTTACCAGCAAGTTTTGCTGTCAGAAAAGGAGCCATGATCTGCAATATTAGGTTTTCAATATTAGAACATCTTACAATGAATGTATATGAAGTTTTTTTATAAACTTTTTTTTTAAGCATTTTTAGAAAAGAAAAATGTGAAAGAAAAATAAAATATTTTTATTATAAGCTAAAATTAATTTATGTGCATAAAATAATTTGTTGAAACTCTCTTATATTAACTTCTCCAAAATTTTATTTATGATTTATGCAGAAATTTATTTCAACTTTTTTTTCCAAATTTTTCCTATAAATTCTTTTGGAGATAAATTTATAGAATCTTTGAAAGTCGTTGTGATAGATATCATTTTTTATGAAATGTTTGAAAAAATTGTAAAATTTTAATTATTTTCAATAATTGATTATGTGTATAGTTGATTATGACAATAATCGATCCTAAACTCTAAATTATAATCATAATACATTTTTTTTAGTAATTTTGATGAAAAAAGAGTTTATGATATTTAATTTTGATTGAATGCCAAAAACAATCAACTTTTATTAGTAAATTAGCTTTAGAATTTTTTTTATATAATAGTAAGTTTCAATTTTCAGATTTATAAGAAAAGCTTATTTTTCAAGAAAAAAAGAGGCTATTTATAAATTTCAGCTATTATTCCGAGCAAAAAGCCTATTTTATAAACTTTTTTTTTTCAACAAATATAGCTGAATCTACAAAACACTATATATATATATATATATATATATATATATAT